AGGCGGCGCAGTCGGAGAAGTCGTCGACGCCCTCGAGGATGCGGAGGTGCAGCTCCGGCGGCAGCTCGGCCAGGCAGTCCGTGGGTGGGGCATCGTCGTCGTTAGTGCGTGCGCGAGGCGGAGACTCCATGGAAGATCACCCAGTCTGCGGCAGTCGCCTCAGAGAAAAGAATTCTTACATCACAAGCCTCTCTCACAGCACACTGGCACATGACCTGTAGGCAAATGCTCGGAGTGGGAGTCAGAAATGTGGTCCTTGCGCGAGGGGAGCTCGATAGACTCGAGGGGCCAGGATACGCCGCGAGGAGGACGGAGTTGCGCCGAAAGGCGAAAGAAGCCGCGAGAACAAGGGACCGGCCGGCGGCGGCGCCGCAGGACGAGACAGAAGAGAACGACGCGACAGAGGAGGAAGTGACAAGGGAGAGAGCGACGAGAGTGGGACGGCCGCGAGGTGGCATGAAGGTTGAAGCGAGAATCGGAGAGAGACTGCGAAGAGAGATAGGAAGAGGCAGACTCCCTAGGGTAGGCGACGGCTAGCGCATCACACTCCTCTCCTTAAAATCCCTGTGTGGTGGCGGCGTGCCGTTCTCCCATCCCTCCCTTGGGTTGTCTGTTTTCTTTCTTTCTTTCAGCACACTGGCACGACAAGGGCGCGGACTGGCGCGGACTGGCACACACACCGGCTCACCACCGGAGCCGCCTAAGCGACTCCATTAAGAACGGCAATGCACTCCGCACCAGAGAAAAGAATTGAAACGCCGCAAGTGCTCCAAACGGCGTGATGACCGCACTAGAAGCTGAGACCGGAGTGTATTGGCACGACCCCGGTTCGTACGCGAGCGAGCGAGCGAGAGACAGAGAGAGAGAGAGAGGGGCGGCCGCAAAAATTTTGAGATAGAATTTTACAACAAAACTCCCTCGCACAACACTGGGCACGGGACTGGCGCGCACTGAGAGATAGAAAAGCGTCCGTCTTGCCGCAGGATAGAGCATATAGGCGGCGAACACCCACACGACATCCCACCACTCACAACAGCGAACACGTGTGAACGCGTTCACCTCCCCTAAGCACCTCCCCCCCAGTTCCGTACATGAAGTATGAAACCAAAACCACTAAGCAGAGCCGCCGAGCCCCCCCCCGCCCCGCCCACCGCGCCCGCCCCGCCCACCCCGCCCACCCCGCCCCCCTCGCCCACCGACCGCCGCCGTGGCGCCTGCAGGCTGAGCCTGGGGCGCGGGGCGCGAGGGCGGCTGGTGGACAAACGTCGTCTGCGCCGCCACCAGCCGCCCAGTTGCGGCGATGGGCAGCGCCGGCTGGCGGCAGGCCGGGCAGTTGGTGTCGCGCTCCAGCACGCGCGGCACACATGTCTCGCAGTACAGCGCGTGGCCGCACGCGAAACGGACCGAGCGCGGCGCGTCCCAGCAGAGGTCGCACAGGCGCTCCTCGGCCCCAGCCTTCTCCTCCCCCTCCCCCGCCGCTTCGACTAGCGCCTCCAGCCGCGGCAGCGCCTCTGCGAGCGGCATCCGCTTCTTCTTCCGCTCGTACGCCAGCCCGACCACTAGCCGCGTCAGCTCCTCGGCCTGCGCCGCCGACCAGCCCGCGTCGGCCGCCGCAATGCTCTCCGCCGTGTCGGGCTCCTCCAATTCATCCTCGCACGCGTTGAGCAAGCCGACGGCGCCGCGGCCGGTCAGGCTGACGAGCAGCGTGATGCCGAGCGCATAGCCGTCGGTCAGCTGCGAAGCTTGGTTGTCCTGCGTTATGATCGGGTCCATGTAGCCTGGCTTGCCAAAGATACGCTGCGTCGACAGGTGCGAGACCTGTCCATTGCCACCGGCCGTCGCCTCTGCCGCGCGCGCGAGGCCCACGTCGGCGAGGTAGCCGTTGCCGCGCTCGTCGAGCAGGATGTTGCCCGCCGAGACGTCGCGGTGCAGGATCATGGGCGAGAGCTTGTGCAGGTAGTGCAGAGCGCTCGCGGCGTCGCGC